GGGAGGTACCAATTAACATGGCCCTATGTTCTTTCATAGGGTATTTTCTAGTCAGGATACTCTTTTTGTATTTTACCTGCTCACAAATTTTCTGTCCCCATCACAAGGGACATTTCCCCTCAGTGAACCAATCAGTGGTGGAAAGAGTAAAGGTTAATGTGAATGTTTTGCTTCTGTCCATTGTAATGAGGAAAACATATAAAAATTGGCATATTATATCTGTGTATAATGTTGGTTGGCACAATTTCTTTCATAGCCTGCACAGGATTTATTCTGGATATTTTGAGTTGGCCTCTGCCAGCTTTCAGCTGGCGTCTAAAAATATTTTTTTCCTAGTATCTAAATATTAACATGGCCCTTCTGGAGGGTTGAATTGCCAGGCCTGTTCCACATTATCTGGAAATTTAAATGTTTGAGCTCTGCAGATATTTGGGGCAGATTTGTCATCTTCTGTAGCAAATTGATCAGCCAGTGGTTGTGTGAGCCCAGGGAACAGATGTGCAGAAGTGACAGTGAGGATTAAGAGAACAGCAAAGTTCTTCCTGCCCTTCTGCATGGATACTTTGGCAGCTGAGTGGCTTAATAACCAAAAATAAAGGGTGGGATCAAACAGTGATTAGAATTCATGTGCGGGGGAGTGCAGAACTCTGAGAGCTGTCTGAAGCCAAAGAACTTTGTTTTGAGTTTCTGGAAAGTTTCTAGGCAGCAGAGCTGCCCTTCAGGTCAGTATGGAAGGAAGAGACATGAATTTATGTCCTGACTCTCTGGGCATCTCTGCAGAGCTGGTCACCAACACCTTGGGGTGTCCCCAAGCCCGAGGGCTCTGTGTGAGCTCCTCCACCTGCCCTGGTGGGGCAGGGATGCTCCAGGGGTACTACCCAGGAATGCTGCAAGGGGCAGGGAGGGACATCTGCTTTGCCAGAGGAGCCTTGAACATCAACATTTGCCTTATTCTTTGTGCAGCCCAGGAATTGCCCCCCAGCTTTGACACAGAGGCCACTTAGTGCACTTTTTTTGTGTGTGCTGTGGTGTCCTGTGAGCAGCGAGGCCTTGCAACCTTCCAGGAGGAACTTCAGCATCTCTTTGCTAGCCCAAACCCTTGGTTTGTAGCCCTGCTCTGTACTCCCCCCCTTTTTAATGTGGTGTGTATAGGGTGTCATGGATGAATATCGGATCCTCACTGACTGGATCCTGTGAGATTCCTGAAATCCACAATACACGAGTGGCTCCCATGAATTTTTGTGTGTGGCCAGTTGACTGTTTCACCCTGGAGTCTTCAAAGACTTGTGGAAAACAATTAACTATTGCAATTTCTGTGCTCCACCTAAATAGGGGGATATGCTGTTTATCTGGGGAAATGAAATGTTTTTCAGGATTGTTCCTGGCATATCACTCTAAAAGTTTAACTAAGTAAATAACAGCAGTTCAATATTACTACTTTGTGAAAGATTGTCACCAGACAAGTCAATTTTCCTGGTCTGCCCAACTTTTGAAAGCAGTACCCCAGGAACTGCAGCAGGCACTGGCTTCATGCTGGGGTTATTTTATCCCTCAGTGGATTGTTTTGCTTCAGCCTCAGAGCTCCAGGGGTTGGCAAGAAAACCACCCCTAAAAAAGGAGGTGGTGCAACATTCGATTTCCACTTGGCCCTTTTTTTAGGGGCTGTTTTTGAAAGCCTTGTCAGAGGCTGAACTCTGAGTGACTGCAGAAATTCTCAGCAAAGTGCTTATGGCTCCAGTGCTGGAGCTGCAGCACATCCAAAAATCCCTGCTTGTGTTAGGCCTGGGAATTCCAAGTCAAAGGTTTCGGTAAATGCCTTTCTGAAAGAACCAGTTCTACATCCCGGCTGAGCGTGAGGTGAAGCTTAATTTCCTTTGTTGTTTTCCTCTGGAAGACAAGTGAAAATGAAGAACGTGTTGAGAGCATGGGGCTTTTCATTTGCAAAAGTCCTCATTAGCATTTTCTCTGCAGGGTGGGATAATCGGTGCTGGATGCTGTCAGGAAATCCATGGGTACATGGCTCCTATGCGCCAGCCCACTGCTTAGAAATAGATAATTAGGGTGATAAATAGGATTTTTTTTTTCTGGAAAGGATATGATGCTGAGAAAGAAATTGTTTTGCAATGTGAGCAGACAAAGGGGAAGTTTCCTGAAAAGTCTCATTTCAGGACTGAGTCTTTGGCTGGGGTCTCCTGAGCTTAGTTGTCTTGGTCTGGCTTTCCCCTTTTTCCTTGATCCTGGGAATAGCTGGCCTTGATTATGGGATGTAACCATTTTTTTTCCTTTCTTTTTTAATTCCTTTTTTTTTTTTTCTTAGAATGTAAAAAAATACAGACACAAAAATGTTACAACAAAAATGTTACAATTGAAAACTCAATTTCAATTTTTTTTTCTTGTGCAGTTTTTTTGTTGTTGGTGGTGTGGGTTTGTTTTTTGTGGTTTTTTGTTTTGTTTTGGTTTTTTTGTTTGGTTTTTTTGGGTTTTTTGGGGGTTTTTGGGGGTTTTTTGATGTTTTTTTTGGGGGGGGGGTGGGTTTTTTTGTTTTTGTTTTTGTTTTTTGTGGAAACAAGGGAAAAAGGATTTCCCGTTGCCATCTTGGCAGTACCAAACCCAGGGCAGGAGGCAGTGCCAGGAGATTGGGGCTCACCAGCAGCCCCTGGCTCTCCAGGGCCTTCCCTCAGTTCCTCTTTAGATAAAACCACCCTAGAGAACAGGAGATGAAAAGCAGAGATGAAAGATTTTTGATAAGAAGATCTAAATATCCTCACCGTGATGGCATCAGTGACTTGAAAATTGCCAAGCTAATGAAGCCCAAGGGAATACGAGTCCAGGAAGATAAATAGGCTTGGATTTGGGCAGTGTTTTGTGTTGTTGGGGGAGGATGTTGCTTCTCACAGATAACCAGTTGTGTTTGCTTGGGAGTCACCAGCTCTGGTGCTGCTCAGAAAGAAATCCCAGCAAAGAAGTGCAGGCAGCACAAGGAAAGGGATACTTGAAAGAGAATCTTCACAAGAAATTATTTTTTAAAAGGCTCCAATCAAATATATTTTTCCCCTGCAAGTTGCTTTCCTCATGATCTGGTTATCTCCACCACCTGCCCTGTCCTGTACAAGGTGTTTTTAGGAAAATACCACACAAAGTGTGACTCTGTTTAAGCATAATCCCCTGATTTCTTTACTGCACTAAAGAAACTGTAAGTTCTTACTCACATGTATTTATAATTTCATTTAATTAAACTTACACGAGGCAGTTTTCTAAGAAGATTCAAGGCACTTCTGTAACTGCGCAGTGACAATGAGGAAAACCAGAACCCCTAAATATAGCTTCTATAGATCCCTAAATATAGCTTATTATCCAGGCACTTGGGGAGCCAGATAGGTCCTCATAAAAAAGAGCCTCAGGTTGAGGCTTAGGGCTTTGGTTTTCTCTGCATATTTTTGAAACAGTGTTAAAATTCTTGTGGCATTTTGGGGTTGGGATTGTGGGGGTGTTTTATGGTTTGTTTGGGTTTTTTGTTTGTTTGGTTGTTTGTTGGTTTTGTTTTAAACACTTGTCCAAATGCCAGAGTGGTTTTGAAGCATTTCATCAGATTCTGCCTTTGGTTTTGTTGTTGTGACTCTTGAACTCTCAAGTCCCTCTGTACCTGTTTGGCAGTAGCGCAAGCTGTAGATGTTTCCTGTGAGGGATTTCCAGAAATGAAACAGAATGAGAAACAGCTAAATTGTAGTTGCTGGAAGAGTAAACTTACAGCAAACTGGACACAAGCACTGGTCTCCCTCAGGACACTTCTTATTTAATGACAGCAACAATTTTCTTTTTTTTTAAAGATTTTTTTTTCCAGATAAAGGTTTTTTTTATTTTATTTTAAGATAAATCTCGTGTGCCAGTTCTGTGTGTTGCAGTGGAGCAGTTCTGTGCTGTTAACTCATAGAGTACCCTGTGAGCCTGGAGAAGGGAAGGGATGGGCACAGATCTCTGATGTTCCCTGACCAGGGACAGCACCCAGGGAATGGCTGGAGCTCCATCAGGGGAGGGTTAGGGTGGAGATCAGGGAAAGGTTCTTTCCCCAGAGGGTGCTGGGCACTGCCCAGGCTGCCCAGGCAATGGACACGGCCCCGAGGCTGCCAGAGCTCCATGAACACTCCCAGGGGTGCCCAGGGTGGGATTGTTGGGGTGTCTGTGCAGGACCAGGAGCTGGATCAATGATCCTTGTGCGTCTCTTCCATCCCAGGAGATTTATAGAATCCCAGACTGATTCTATAAATCAGCTGGGAGGGACCTTAAAGCCCAGCCCTTAAAGCTACCTCCCACTGTCCCAGGCTGCTCCAAGCCCTGTCCAGCCTGGCCTTGGGCACTGCCAGGGATCCAGGGGCAGCCACAGCTGCTCTGGGCACCCTGTGCCAGGGCCTGCCCACCCTCACAGGGAGCAATTCTCACCTAATCTCTGCTCTGACCCTGCCCTGTGTGATTCCATTCCCGGATTCTCACCCGTGGCCGTTCACGTTGGGATAGAGAGGAAAGAAGGAGGAGGAGGGGAGGGAGTTGGTAGAATTGGGCCATGGAAAAATATAGAAAATTTTAAAGGTTTCTCCTCCTGTCTTCTCAGAACAAAAGCAACCCGCTTTTATCGCGCCCGGCAGAGGTTTCGATAGCAAACGCGGCTATCCTGACATCCCCAGCCTGCGGCTGCGGCTGCCGGGATCCCCCGGGATGCTCCGCCGGGATTTCCCGGAGGGGCTGTCCGTGCCCGCCGGCAGGCTGTCTGTTCGCCCGTCCGTCTGTCCGTCCGTTTTGTCCGTCCGTGCCCGCGCCTCGGGGGCTGTCCCGCTGCCGCCCCGCGGCTCGGGGTTGGTTCATCCTCCCCCTGCGCTCCCTGGCAGAGCGCGTTGGGAACCAGATAAGCACAATCTGGTGTGTGAGCGGGAGGGTCTGAGCTCCTGACTGCCTTATTCTTCTTCTTCTTTTTTTTTTTTCTTCTTTCTTCTCCTTTTTTCCTTTTCCCCACTCCTTTCCCCTCCCCTCACGGGAAGCCCCCAGCTCCCGAGGTACCGCAGACAATGGAGCTGATGTGCTGGTGCAGGAGGAGCTGATTAACGGGGAGGGGGGGAAAGGGGAAAAACAGGGAACAGGGCAATCGCCTCCTGCAGCCCCGTGTGCTGAGATCGCAGCTCTGCTCTGGGTACCGGGCAGTGGTGCCAGAGATAACTGCCTGCATTTTCAGAAGTTCTGGGAGCTCTAAGGATGCTTTCCAAGGCTCCGCCAGAGCCCGCAGCTGGGACTGCTCCACGCCGTTAGTCCGCGGGCTCTCATAACGGCCTAGAGCAACCGAAAGGAGAAACGGGATTTCTGTGCGATCCCGGCAGGACTGGGGGTCCGTGGGAGAGCCAGGCGGGATCTAGGAGCGCCCATAACTCCGTGTCCTTTGTGCGGCCGGCTCGGGCTGGGAGCGGGGCCCGGGGGCTGCAGGTGCTGAGGCGGCCGCGGGGCCGGCCGGGCCGCGGGCGATGCCACAGCCCCGGCATGCGGGGACAGCCGGCTGCGCCAGCCATTCAAACCCCAGCAGCAAAGTCTTGTGCCGCTGACAGCCCGCTGCACGCCACGGAAAATGCTGAAGTTAAAGGCCTTCTGCTTGGATTACTGGCAGTTTTTATGTCTCCAGCCTCTCCATGGTTTCTATAAAAGGTAAGAAAACGTTAACTCTGCAATGCTCTTCAGCACATGATGCCACCAGGGTTTTTCCTCGCTGTTGTGCTCCCTGGGAGAAGGGAAAAGGGAGTGGTAGGCAATTAATGAGAACTTGTGACAAAGATTGTAAAGCTGCATCTTTTAAAAAAATTTTAAAAGGGGTTTTTTTTTTTTTTTTTTTTTTTTTTTTTTTTTTTTTTTTTTTTAATGGCTTTAATTATCAGCTGCTGTTGTCTCTGTGCATGCAGATGTGAAGGTGAGGGTGCTGTTTGGTTTTAACCTCTACTTTAGGTCACATCACCTAAGACTCAGGACTTTTTCTTCCCCGCTGTTTTATCCTTAGGCACAGTAGCTCATGCTGGAGTGTCCACACTGTAGACGACACTGGCAGATTAATTGAAATGTCACGGGAATTTATGGAACGCAGAGAAGACCCTTTATTTCCCTGAGATATTTAGCAATATAATAGTTCATCTTTCCTCTCCCTCCCAGCACAAAGTGCACATCAGAGTCATTCAGAGCAGTGGGCACTTCACTTAGACAGGTCTGACACCCAGCTTAAATGATTGATGGTGAATGGTGATCCTAAAGAATAGGTCTGGGTGTCAGATGCATTGAGCTTGCCTATTTAATGGAATAGCAAAATAAGCAATTCCATTTAACATGTCCCTGAACTTACCCTGATGCTTTTTAATCTACACTTCGTTTTCCTTGCTCCTGATTTACGCTGCTGAGCAGAGGGAATTGGATGGGTTTGAATTTGCTGGGGGGAAGTGGGGATCCCTTTGCTGTGAACAAAACCCCTGCAATTCTCTAAAACAGGATTCCGTTCTCCTTACGTACACTTTCTGCCCTGGCTACCTATTGTCAGCCTACAGAAAGTGCTTTGTACTAAATGCTAATTGCAGTTGAATTTTTCATGCAGCGACTGAAGGCTGGAAAAGGGAACTGTTCCAATCTTTTTCAAGGTTTCAGGGGTGCCCCGCACTTTCTGCATTGAGTAACACGGGACCCTCATCTGTGACCATTGGCTTGTGAAGTTTCAAAAGATAGCTTTATTCTCCTCTCCTTGGAGTTTTTCACAGATTCCACTGCCAAGCCAAAAAATTCCCAACCTAGTCCCAGCCCATTGTGATGTTTTCCTTGCTGAGAAACCATATAAAATAAGAGACATGGAGCCAGACTGTTTTGACACAAATAAATACTCAACTCGAGCTTTCTGTCGTGGGTTCCTGGCGAAATCCCAGCTTTGTGGCAAATGAATTACTGGGGAGTTATTCTACATCTCCTAATGCAAACCCTTGCAATAGGGCTGCCCATTTATTTCCTTCCAGAGAATTAATTTACTTGCCATCACAGCCTGGATGTGCTTGAATCTTCTGTCTGCATGAGCAGCACTAAAACCAGGCCTTAAGCACTTCAGCATCACATAGAGGCACTTTGTTCTCATCTTTTTGAGAAGAAAAGAAAATTGAAGGAAAGTTGTGACTTCCTCACATTTGAAACAAAATAATTTGTTGGTTAAAGCACAAACAAGTGTGAAAAGCAGGTGCTGCAGAATAATAAACATTAAATGTAAGGAAGTTCATCTTAAAAAGAAAGAAAGAAACCTTCTGGAGACTTTAAATTACTTTTTATTAGTGATTGTAAATTGTTTAAAATGTTCTTGGAAAAGAGCCCAGGGGCAATGGGGAGGGTTTGCGTGTGCCCCGTGTATATATTTCCTATTTTTATGTATAAAATGAGGTAACAGATAACCAAAACAGGACTTGGGTAACATTTCCATGGAGTGACTGTGCTGTTCCCTTACATGCACTGCCTGAGTCTCATTTGCAGTTGCAGCCACTGCTCAGAGCTGTGGAAAATGTTCCTGGTTGCTTTGGAAGCTGTGACTTGCTGCTCCATCGTGGGATGTCCAGCTGTGTTTTCCAGCTTTTATTATTCAGGGAGTTCTTGTGGGTTCATGTCCAGAGAAGGAAATGGAGCTGTGGACGGGTTTTGAGTGGCTGAGGGAGCTGGGAAGAGGCTCAGCCTGGAGAAAAGGAGGCTCAGGGGGGCCCTTCTGGCTCTGCACAACTCCTGACAGGAGGGGACAGCCTGAGGGTCAGGCTCTGCTCCCAGGAACAGGGACAGGAGGAGAGGGAATGGCCTCAGGCTGGGCCAGGGCAGGCTCAGGGTGGATATTTGGGAGAATTCCTTCATGGAAAGGGTGGTCAAGCATTGGAACAGGGCAGTGGTGGAGTCCCCATTTCTGGAGATGTTCAGAAAGCACACGGATGTGGCACTTGGGGACATGGCTCAGGGGTGAGGGAGTGATTGGACTCAATGATCTTGGAGGGCTTTTCCAGCCAGAATTCAGTGATTCTGGATCTGCTGCCTGGCCTGGACAATTCTGATTTTTTGTATAATTTTATTTTGCTCTGGGTGAACATGAGACTTTAAATTACTTTTTTATTAGTGATTGTAAATTGTTTAAAATGTTCTTGGAAAAGAGCCCAGGGGCAATGGGGAGGGTTTGCGTGTGCCCCGTGTATATATTTCCTATTTTTATGTATAAAATGAGGTAACAGATAACCAAAACAGGACTTGGGTAACATTTCCATGGAGTGACTGTGCTGTTCCCTTACATGCACTGCCTGAGTCTCATTTGCAGTTGCAGCCACTGCTCAGAGCTGTGGAAAATGTTCCTGGTTGCTTTGGAAGCTGTGACTTGCTGCTCCATCGTGGGATGTCCAGCTGTGTTTTCCAGCTTTTATTATTCAGGGAGTTCTTGTGGGTTCATGTCCAGAGAAGGAAATGGAGCTGTGGACGGGTTTTGAGTGGCTGAGGGAGCTGGGAAGAGGCTCAGCCTGGAGAAAAGGAGGCTCAGGGGGGCCCTTCTGGCTCTGCACAACTCCTGACAGGAGGGGACAGCCTGAGGGTCAGGCTCTGCTCCCAGGAACAGGGACAGGAGGAGAGGGAATGGCCTCAGGCTGGGCCAGGGCAGGCTCAGGGTGGATATTTGGGAGAATTCCTTCATGGAAAGGGTGGTCAAGCATTGGAACAGGGCAGTGGTGGAGTCCCCATTTCCGGAAATGTTCAGAAACCACACGGATGTGGCACTTGGGGACATGGCTCAGGGGTGAGGGAGTGATTGGACTCAATGATCTTGGAGGGCTTTTCCAGCCAGAATTCAGTGATTCTGGATCTGCTGCCTGGCCTGGACAATTCTGATTTTTTGTATAATTTTATTTTGCTCTGGGTGAACATCCATGGAAGTGAAATCCATGGGCTTGAAGAGAATTCCGTGCAGGGTGTGTTGGGGTTTGTGGTGGCCCCACCGCCCAGAGCTGTGGGGCTGGGACAAGGAAAATGAGCCATTCCCCCTCCCTGGCTGTGGCTGCAGTGCCAGCTGGGACACTGCAAGCAAACACTGAGCCTGGGTGATGGGAGAAAGGAGAACTAGGACAGGTTTTCAAGTTTATTTATGTATACAGGGTAAAAAATCCAGCTCCAAAATAGCAAGCTGGGCATGTGGCAGTCCTAAAGAAATGCCAGGTAAGGGGACACACCATGTGTACAGAGAGAGCTTCTCTGGAGTTTATGCTCTCAGCACAGCCAGGGGAAGGGGAAATTGGGAGAAATCAAACCACACTTTCAGTCTGTTCCTTGAATTTGGCAGCACCTGCAGTAATCAGGACTTTGCCCATCCCATGTGTGTTCACAAAACAAAGTTACTGCAAGGTAGCAGTGCTTGTGCCTCCAGTAATGTGTTTGTGAGCCAGCAGCCTGATTTATCCAAGTGTCAGCAAATTGCAGAAAGCAAACTCAGGGGACTGGGGTAGAAACCTGCTCCAGGAAATGTTTGGTAATTCAGTGATTCATGAAAATGAGATTTCAATGCTCTTCAGTTGCCAGTAGCACTGAATGCATTTTGGTCAGAACCTTTCACTTGAGGGCTGCTTTTGGTACCCTCTGAATACAAACACTGAGGGTGCTGAGATGTTTCTGTGGCAGATTAAAGTGTAAGATGAGCAAATCGCTGTCGGGTTCCTGTGGGCTTGGCAGGATGAACGCCTCATGCTTTACTTCCAGGATTATTATAAATCCATGTGAGTCCAGGTTTAGCATGTGAAAGTGAAGATTTTCCTTAGCCAGGGGGGAAAGCTCCGTGCTGTGCTGCTGCCAGCTGGTGGGTAATAGCCCAGGCTAGAAATTGTTACCATTAGCATTGCATTAAAGATCAAGCAGAAGGTGAGGAAATGTGCGACTGGCACTGAGGGCAGCTGTAATCTGCAGATTTTCCCTCCCAGAATGTCTTCTCTCTTCTGGCTAAAACAGGAGGATTTCAAAAAACATAAAACAAGTGCCAAGTCTGTAAAGGCTGTTTTATTGGAATGCTTTGTTTGGCAAACAAAACTGTTTTTAAATTATTTCTTGTCATTTTCAATTTTTCTTTCATCTGTTTGGTCTCTCTAAAGGAGGCACGAGTCCCTTCCAGAGCAATTAGGGCCATTTGTAATGAGCTTCCCCAGTGGAATAAGCAAAGGGAGAGGTGGTTGGCTCTTTCAAGCCGGGGATTAGCTGGAATTGTTTCTGCCACCCTTCAGCTGGGACTCACAGTTCTAGCACCCTGATTCAGGATAGGGTGATTCATGTGCTTGAGCCCATCTCTGGGCAAAATAGGTCTGTATTTTGGTGTATGATTCATTCCCATGAGGATGTTTCAGTGTTGATTAAAAATGAAAATGCTTTCATGAATTGGCTTGTTAGGAGCAGCTTACTGCTGCCACCCTGGAATATCAGAGTATCTGAGTGTCAGAAGCTACTTGAAGCCACTCTGATGTTGCACTCTGCAGGGCACCTGCAGCTCTGTGCTCATCTTCTCTCCCACTCTCTTATCCTAGAAAAATGTGTAGCATTTGAAGCCGTGAAAGGAATTGCCAGCCTTAATTTAGATGCTGTTTCAAAGGCAGCACATGGGGGCTTGAAGTGATCTGTGTCAGAGCTGTCCTTTG